ATAGAGCGATTTTCGTATGACCTCGAAATGAAAACGCGCTAACAAAACAGGAACAACAAACGAACGGAAATAGAGCGATTTGATTGGTTTATCGAACAGATACAAACGCACGCGGCTTTTGGTTGGTTGAGCGAACGCTCGGGTGAAAAAACTTCACGCCCCAGAACTTTCTAGAAATCAACCGATGCTTCGCTTTGACGTCATACTGCGACGTGACTGGCCAATCGAACAATGCCTTTTCACGTTAGGGTTTTCTTTGGCGGGAAAACGAAGAGGCCATGTTTTGACCTATTCATCCATTGGCTGATGAAACAAATAAGAAACACTTACCGAAACCATTTTTCAAGGTCATACGAAAATCGCTCTATCAAGATTCCATCACATATGCCAAGCGCCCTGTATCACAAAACAAAGAACCCTTTCGAAGTGAAAATTAGTCTGAGTATTAGTTTTCACTGAGCTTCTCTAACGCTTCATGAAAGTTAAACACTGAGGGGGGTCAATAATTCTCTATATATTAAATTTTGATGGCGTCACGTGAAAACCAGCAAAACCAAGATGACTCCAAGTATATAGATGTATTTAAAAAATGACTCAAGTGTCAAGATCGGCGTATATATTCGGTACCAGTTCTCCGCTGTTTTTTGACGTTGCATGGCAACAGCAAACGGAGTAGCTCTCAGACTTTGTATACACGTCTAAATCCGCACGTTGATATATGTTTAATAATGCAATCGATATTTTAAACCAAAGCTCCCGACAAACTTGATTAAAAAATCACCCTAAGATCTGTTGACATGGGCTCCTACGGTTGTAAAAAAGTTCCTTTCATGAAAGTATTAACTGTAAATTAAATTTTCAATGAGTATTAATTAGGAAATGTAGGTTAAAATCCGTTTCAATCTCTGGTGTTTAATTAAGGCAGAAAGTTGTTTCAACAGCCGCACCGGCTTTTTCTGACGCGTACAAACAAGAAGATAATTTTTTATAAGCTGATCGATTATCTTGCTTTGCTATATTGTGCGTTGTTTTTTATTGCTTTCCAGAGTAATTATCTTCGCTTCAATGAAATAAAGTGCTGTTTACGCAATAACCTATAATTTAGAGAAAAAAAAAAGGGGGGCCGATACAACCACTTAGAGTTACAGCCTCTTAACACTACGATCAGTTCCGTCTTTTTAATTATTAAAACAAAAAAGTCCGTTTTGTTATTCTAATGAAGTACTCTGTGATTTTGTCACTTCTTTCCGCCGCAAGTCTAAATCCCAACTTCTGTACACTGGTAATCTTCCTAGCGGGCATTCTGCCAGTGTTGAAAATAAGTCGATTGAAAACGATTTTGTCATGTTGACTTTGGTGAAACAAAGTCTTTTCTGACAGATATCTTCTCGTCTATGCTGTTTAAGCACCTGTCTAGTATATAGCTTGAATCACAAAGAATCGACGGATAAAAACTCACTGACGATTTTTATCTTGTCATGAAAACAGTATTGGCCATTTGATTTTCACTTGCTTTGCAACCGTGTCCAGTTGGACACGGTTAATCTGAAACTTCGATGGAGACAAAGTCTGAAGATTTCAACGAGTTCTATTTGGTTTGGGAGAGCAGTTGTCGAAACTTCATCGAAGAAATCAACTTTGCTTCTCAAGACGCCAAGTCATCACTCAAGCTGCATGTTTTTCTAAGAAAAGACACGCCATTGAAAGCGCTTCCACCGAACGACATCTGGATAGAGAATCACTTTTCCTTGACGTCTTCTCCATATGCATCAAATACGGGGTTTACAGCCTACCTTCTGAGGAAATATGGAGATTTTGAGGACCTCGACGATAACAAGACGTTGTGGGTGTATTTGATTTCTGAGCGGGAAAGACAGCACGAAGAGCTCATTGCCATTTTGAAGTCGTCTAGTCCTTATTTGAATGTTAAAGAGATTAACGGAACGGAGAATGACATTTTTAGCGTTCTGTCGAATTCGTGTCCTTTCTGTCGCCTCGTCTTCTCGAACGCTGAAGAGACAGAACAGCACAATCTAGAAGAACATGACTATTTTTGTGACAACCAAGCATGTTATGGCTATCATCAAAGATTTCGTTCCGAGGAAATCCTAGTCAAACATAAAGCTGCCCAGACGACCTGCCCAAACTGCGGGAAGCTGTTCTGTTCAGAAGATCTAAAATCAACGCACATAAAAAATGCGCACAACATCTTCCTTCCCACTCCAAAGGCCGAAAAGAAAGCAGCACTCTTTACTCAAATAGCTCGATCTGCATTAAAAAAGCGAATAACGTGCAAGTTCTGTCCTCATAAGGAATTTATTTCCCACGAACAAAAAGAAGTTCACATGAAAAACTCTCACAAGAAATGCAACTGTTCTTGCGGCCAATATTTTCCTACAAGAGAGGAGTATTTGGATCATTTTTACAGCGTGTACCCACTTCCTTGTTATGAAAACCGCAAATGCCCTCAGAGATTTCAGTCCGTTTTCTACCAGGCATCGCATCACAGAGATTTTCACAATTCGCAGAATCCGTTTTATTGTGTTCCTTGCCAGAAGAGAAAGACTGAGAACGAATTATCACAGGCGACTAAGACGTGTTTCAAAGATGACAAAAGCTTGCGTATACACGGCGTTTCCTTGGGTCACAATGAAATTGAAATGTTTTTGCTCGATTCAGTCGATGATGCACTTAAAGTGACTGAGACGGCGGCTATACAAAGAAAACCTCCTACAAGAACCTGCTCGAATTTAAACCACTGCTGAGAGCAGCGTCGCAGAAAATAGGTCCAAAATGCGTGCGTGGGTCCGGTCTCCTCATACGACCGTTGAGGACAAAAGTTAGGAATGCCTCCAACCATATATACCTCTTCGGCTATGAGCTTAGTGTTTACAGGACAATGTTTTAGTGAAAAAAAAATTATCAACGG